ATACATAATATGCAAATTACATATATATATATATATATATTGCATGTACAGTATACATAATGTGCATATATATAATACATATATAACATTTATATAATATATATATATCCATAAGTAAACATATAATATATATAATATATATAATACATATATATACTCCTTTGTCAAAACTTGATATGCGGGACAGCAAATAAATTTTTCTTGAGTTGTCATTAATTTTTTAAGCAGATGGATTAATAATAACTAAAAAGATATACAGAGCTTAATGCATATATTTTATTAAAAATATGTATATATATCAATATTTATATTATGTTAATTATTAATTTGTTATCTATTACTCATTGTTTATATTAGTATTTGTATTTGTATTTATATTTATGTCAAAAAAATTTATATTCATCTTCTTGCTGATTTTTTTGCTGCCGCGACAGCAGCTGCTTCACTCGCTTTGTCTCTCTTCTACTTTTTTAAAATTATTTATTAAGCAAAATTTAATTTTTTATTATTTAGTTATTTGTTTATTTAGAATGAAGTATCTTTCTTTAATATGAAGCAACTACATATGCATCTCCATATGCAAAACATACAAGTTTTTAATGTACAATATATATATGTATATATATATATATATATGAGTACTAAATATAAAGAAAGATATATGTAATGCATATATTTAATTATAAGTATAATTAAATGTCATCAAAGATAATTTCATCGGGTTATAGTGCAGAAACAACGAAGTAATCTGCTACTAAAAATAAGCAGAATATATCTGTAAAATGAATTATAGTATGTTAACTTTATTTAATTTAATTTGGTTTAATTTATTTTATTTGGTTTTAACTTATTTAGAAACATTTGCATATAAGTTTTATTTTTTTTCTTCTGAAGCCTCTCTGTATATTTCAATATCTGCTCGCTGTAGAGGGGCTTCTGTTTGCTGCAACGACGGCAGGGAAATCAGGGCGAAAAAGTAAATATTGTGGGTGTTTTCAATGAAATTAAATAAAAATAAATAAAATAAATAAATAAATTTTATAATTTATTATTTTAATACGTTTTTGTGCAGTAAGCATACAACTCCTTTCGGTTTGGAGGTTGTTATGGCGGCGGTACGGGGGACCAGTGGTTTGCTGCATATTTTTGAAGGTGTTTTTCATTATTTTTGTGTATTTACATCATATTTTTGTGTGTTGTTTGTTTTTTATGTCATTTTATCACATTTTTGGCTGCAGAAAGACCTATTTATCGCTTGTTTCCCTCGTAGGCGTGGGGTGTATAAGCACCTCGCCGCCTACTGTATATTATTGTTTTGCTGTCAGGAGTAAATTTGTGAATTATAAAAGCCTCAGAAATGAAAATATTTGTTTTATGTTTGTCTTTTTCTTCTTTTTTATTCTTATTTCAAGGTATTCAGCCCGCTTTCTCAGCTGATGATGGCGCCCAAAGCAACCAGGACAGCCAGCAACAAGAAGAAAATGAAGAAGCAATAGAAAAAAAGATGCATCAACGTTTGTTAATATCTTTCAAAGAAAATTGCAATCAAACGGAGGCCTCTGCTAAAATATTATCGACAATTCTTAGGGGGGAAGTAAAAGATAAAAGAAACTCTGATTATAAACAGTAAGCAGCAACAATTGTTTTACAAATATACTACAAACTTCTCTCTCTATTCTTCTATATTATGTCTATATATCTGTTTTAATTATATTATCTATGCATTCTACACATTTGTAATATACATAATCTGTTTATTATATATATAAGCACTGTGCATGCACAACATATCCTTATATACATGTAGTATATATATATATATATATATATATATATATATATTATGTAGTATGCTTCGCTATATTGTACATGGATGTACATTATGTAGATATAATTTTATATGCACTGTAGAGCCGATGCGTTATTTACATCTGTATTTATTTATTTATTTATTTATTTATTTATTTTTTCTGCTTCTTTTTATTTACTTCTCCTCTCCGTTTTGTTTGCTTGCTGGATATATATGTTTGGTGCATATGTATTTATTTATTTGTTTGTTTATTTATTTATCTATTTATTTATTTACTTATTAACTTATTTATTTATTTATTTAATTCAAGTTATTTATTTATTTATTTATTTTATTCTTCTTCAGTGAGGAGTCGGCGGTATTTTCTACGAAAAATGCCGGCGACTATGCAGCATATTCAAAAGATATTTTTTCTTTTAAGACAGTGCAACAAGCAGAAGCTGCTCCTGCTGCTGCTGCTGCTGCTGCAGCAGCAGCAACAGCAGCAGCAGCAGCAGCAGCAACAGCAGCAGCAGCATCTGCTGCAGCTACTGTTGCTCAAGAATCTGCAGCAGCAAGAGAAGCAGGGGGAGAAGCAGCAGCAAAAGAAGCCGCTGCTGCTGCAGCGGCCGCAGCAGCCGAAGCAGCAGCAGCAGCAGAAGCAGCAGCATCGGCTGAAGCAGCAGCAGCAGCAGCTGCTGCAGCAGCAGCAGCTGTTCGTTGTTCTGTCTCTCAGACAACATTAAAAGGAGTTAAAATATCTGTCTTATCTCTTGAGAATTGCCCTCTAATAAATGCTGATGAAGTTATAAAAGCATTTGAAGAAGATGAATGCACAGTAGCTGTAAACTTTGATGCTGCGCTGCACCTCAATCAGCAACAGGTACAACTATTACTGCTGCTGCTGCTGCTGCTGCTGCTGTTGCTGCTGTTTCTGCTGCTCGATGATGATGCCTTTGTGTGTCAATCTTTATACAAATATATTAATATTTTAATACATTTATATTTAAATATTAATTAATTAATTAATATGTTTATTTATTTATTTGTTTATTAGGAGATGAGTAAAGAAGTCTTAGTACCGTCATACTGGGAGGAACTTGTATCTTTGAATAAGGCGAAGTCTTCATTTGGTGTATGTTTAGAAGAAGATATAACAATAGGGGTAATAGATTCGGGTGTACAGGCAGATCATCCTTATCTGAATGCAATGCTTTGGACTAATAAAGGAGAGATAGAAGACAACGGTATTGATGACGATTCTAACGGTTATATCGATGATGTCTCTGGGTTCAACTTTGCTAACTTCACACAAACACCTGCTGATGAACACGGCCACGGTACACATGTCGCAGGTATCATTGCCGCTCTCAGAAAACCTCCGCCTCTCAAGCCAGTTACTTCTACTACTACTCCTGATCCTGCTGCTACAACTACTTCCAGCAGCAGCAGCAGCAGCAGCAGCAGCAGCAGCAGCAGCAGCAGTGGAGGTGATAGCGGAGAAGAGAAGGATTCAAGCAGCAGCAGCAGCACCAGTACCAGCAGCAGCAGCACCAGCAGCAGCAGCAGCAGCAGTAGTAGTAGTAGTAGTAGTAGCACTACTACTAGTACCTGCAGCAGTACTTATTTTAGTGATATCAGCAGCACCACCAGCAGCAGCATCAGCAGCAGCACGAGCAGCAGCACGAGCAGCAGCATCAGCAGCATCATCAGCAGCAGCAGCAGCAAGGCGATGGAGGTAGATAAGAGAGAGAAGGAAGAAGAGAGCAACGTGAAGCATGCTGCAGGGTGCAAGCGTGTATCGATAGCAGCTCTTCGATTTATAAACAAAGAGGGTTTTGGCTCTGTATCGCGAGCAATAGAAGCACTAAATTATGCTGTGATAATGAAGTTTGCGCTGTCTTGTAACTCGTGGGGGGGGTCTGTCTATTCTTCATCGTTGCGACAAGCTATTATTGCTGCTAGTAAAGCAAATCATTTGTTTGTTGCTGCTGCTGGTAATGCAGCATCATTAATAGACTTTTCTCGCGAATACCCAGCAGCATTTGCTTTAAATAATATGTTAACTGTTGCTGCTACAGATAAACATGATAGATTAGCTAGGTTCAGCAACTTCTCTCCGGTGTATGTACACCTCGCTGCACCTGGTGTTCTAATTAACAGTGCATTTCCTACGAACTCTACAGCTTTGCTGTCGGGGACGTCTATGTCTGCGCCGATTGTTGCTGCTGTTGCTGCTCTTCTCTTTTCATCAAAAGCAAACACATCTATGACCAAAGTCAAACAAATACTTCTCAAAGCTGTCGACAGAAATAATAATCTCTGGGGTTAGCTGCTGCTGTTTGTGTTGCTGCTGCTGTTTGTGTTGCTGCTGCTGTTTGTGTTGCTGCTGATGTTTGTGTTGTTGCTGCTGTTTGTGTTGCTGCTGCTGTTTGTGTTGCTGATGTTTGTGTTGCTGCTGTTTGTGTTGCTGCTGTTTGTGTTGCTGCTGTTTGTGTTGCTGCTGTTTGTGTTGCTGCTGCTCATGCTGCTGATGTTTGTGTTGCTGCTGTTTGTGCTGCTGCTGTTTGTGTTGCTGATGTTTGTGTTGCTGATGTTTGTGTTGCTGCCGATGCTGCTGCTGCTGCTGATGCTGCTGATGTTTGTGTTGCTGCTGATACTGCTGCTGCTGCTCATGCTGCTGATGTTTGTGTTGCTGCTGCTGCTGCTGATGATGATGATGCTGCTTCTTGTGCTGCTGCTTATGCTGATGCTGCTGATGATGCTGCTGATGATGCTGCTGCTGCTGCTGACATTAGATATTTATATATTTATATATATATATATATATATTTAAATATATATATATATATATATATATATATATTTGTGCAGGTAGAGTGCAGACAGCGGGCCGAGTCAACGCATACAGAGCGATGCACTACTTAATGAGAGACAAAGACGAAGAAGAAGAAGAAAGAGAAGAAGAAAGCGATCAAAATGCACCCTCTCGTAATCCTTATAATTATATTTTATATAAATTAAATGTTATTAACAAAGTTAATCAAATTAATCAACGGCAGCAGATGCTTCGCTCTCAGCATACTCTGCTCAAATTCATCGACACCATGCAGATACGCAAACAAACCAGCAGCAGCAGCAGCAGCAGCAGCAGCAGCAGCAGCACAAAACGCAGCGAAGGCTATAGCAGCAGCAGCAGCGAAGGCGATAGCAGCAGCAGCAGCAACATCGAAAGCGATAGCAGCAGCAGCAGTAGCAGCGAAGGCGATAGCAGCAGCAGCAGTAGCAGCGAAGGCGATAGCAGCAACAGCAACAGCAGCGAAAGAGATAGCAGCAACAGCAACAGCAGCGAAGGAGATAGCAGCAACAGCAACAGCAGCGAAGGCGATAGCAGCAGCAGCAGCAGCAACAGCAACAGCAGCGAAGGCGATAGCAGGAGCAGCAACAGCAACAGCAGCAAAGGCGATAGCAGCAGCAGCGAAGGCGATACCAGCAGCAGCAGCAGAAGCAACAGCAGCAGCAGCAGCAAAGTAGATGAAGATTTTCTCAACAGCAACACGGAATCATAACACAAGCAGCAAACACAGCAACAAAAGCAGCAGCAGCAACAGCAGCAGCAGCAACAGCAGCAACAACAGCAGCAACAATCACAGCAGCAGGAGCACCAGCTGCATCAACAACCGCATCAGCAGCAGCGTAACAGCAGCAGCAGCAGCAGCAGCATAACATGATTAAAAATGTCTGTGGGGAGATATCGTCAAGAATACATCCACAGATGGAACCCTGAACAAACCCTAAACCCTAAACCCTAAACCCTAAACCCTAAACCCTAAACCCTTGAAAACATGCGGCCCTTTGGCGTTTATTTCCTCACCCTAAACCCTAAACCCTAAACCCATATATATATATATATATATATATATATATATAT